AGAGATTTGCGGACAATGAAGAAGTAATCGAAGCTGTAAATGGTTATTTTGAGGAGCTTGACGAATCAGTCTATAGAGATGGCATTAATAGACTGGAACACCGCTATGAGAAATGTATCAGCCTTGGAGGAGATTATGTTGAGAAATAAAAAAAAAAAATTTTTAAAAACCTTGTTTTTCTTGGTCAGGCCGGAAACTTATCAATCCACCCTCGTACATTAGTCTGCATTACAATGTAATCACGTTCATTTCTTTTTATTAATCGTAACCTGATGTAGTCAAAATATAACGAAATAATTCTTATGTTCCTGTAATAATTTTTTTAAAAACTTTTGTTGTCTTATTATTTGACTCATTGTAATACTAATAAGAAATAGGCGAGATAGGTTAGTAGGACACCTTTTCAGGCAAGAAGGTCTAGTCAGAGACATATTAGAGGCAAAAAAGGGAGTTAAGAAGGGTAGAGGTAGACCTAGATTAGATTACTGTTCACAAATAGTTAAGGATGTGGATTGTTCTAGTTTTAGGGAAATGCGAAGATTAGCTCAGGATAGGGAGGAGTGGAGGTGCGGGTAAAACCAGTCTTAGGACTGACGATCTTACGATGATGATGATTACCAACTATGCCAGAATATTTACAAACTTTAAAAAAAATTGTAGACTCTTACGCCACTTCAAATTAAAGGGTTATATTTTCCTATAATCGATGCTGACTTGAATGTAGTTTTTTATAAAACGTAAAGATCTACATAATAGTCGGTGTCCAAAAAGTTAAATAATAAAAATGTAATTCTTATCAGAAACCAAAATCAGTTTAACTGATGTGTCGTATTCGGGTCTAAAGGCGGTTGTCGGTTTCTAGACTAATAGTGGTGTTTGTATTATATCACCAGCTGCGAAGATTGAGTATAATTTATATTTTTCTGTTTGTTTTTATCTTTATGTTATAGTTTCTTCAGTTCAGCAACAAATTATTTCTCTATATGCTTCCTTATTTACCTTTATCACGCGTTTTAATTGGAAAAAAGACACTGATGTCAAAATAGTTTGTTTAGCGTGAAAGATCAGAGCCAAAATAGGGTTGCAAATAATTTTATTGATGTAAAATCAATATCAATCATTTTATATCAAAATATTTACAACCTCATTTTGTTTCCGATCTTCCACATTGTAATAAGAGAAAGAAGTAGAATCTATAGTTCCTTTAGCTTTGGGTTCATCTAATAAGTGAAGTTTTTCGAATCCTTTTCTGAGAATTTTGGACTATACGCATTTATAAACACAACAATATCTTGTAGTTTTCTGTTATACACAGCTGGCGTATATCAATTCGAGATTGTTTTGCGGACTGTTTTGTCGTAATTCGTAGAATTTCGTAGCTCCTTGCTAAAGCTACGATAAGTGGTGATTTTGAAGCTGCTGATATCAATTTGGAATTTCAAAATTCAATGGATCATGCCATTAAACCCGGAAAACAATATCGATCCAATATCTTAGATTATCCATTTCCAAGGAGTTTAGAATTTTTTGGGTTCTCTTCAGTTAGAGAATTAGGCGGCATTCATACAATGTCTCTTTATTACCTTTTTAAGCTTCTAATACCTTCAATGACCAATGTGAGAAACTATCATTCATCATTTTATATAATATCTGATCGGTGTGATACCAGCAAAACTTTTAACGGCAAAAATGTATTCTACATTTTACAAATAGAAAATACTTTTAGAAAAGTATTTTAAATAAAATGCAAAATGCTTTTCTCAAAAAAGTATTTAAATGCAAAACAAAAATAGGTATTTTTATTTCGTATTTACATTTTAAATGCATGTATTTCAAATAAATCAAATCTCTGATCAGGACAGCATCAGTTCACTAACTAGTCGCAAAAGCATTTACCAGTTTCTCAAAGTCTGTTTGTTTATTTTCGTATTACTCTTCCTTTTGTTAGTGTATCTACACCTACGTCAAAATATATTTCCGAATGTATGCCTTCTCGTGAGAATAACTTTATTTAAAAGCAGCTGCTTCAATATACGAAGTTACCATTGTTACAAAAACACAACAATAGTAAAGTAATAAAGGTATTGAAAATCCAATTGTGTTTGTGTTTACAAAATAAATCAAACATGAATCTCCTCACTTATACTTTTTAAATGTTTAAGATAAGATCCATTATATTTGATAGGGTAATAAAAGTAGCAATTGTTGATTTTCTAAAAACATGCAGCTATTACTAATATGTCTGCTATTGTTTCGCTTTGTTGCTACATACATAAATCATTATGAGTAAATTGGCAAAAGTGAATAATGCCTATCTAGAGCGTTAAATTATTATTCCATCTACATATTATAGTAGGTACAAGCATTTAAATTAACTGAGAATTGTGCAAATATTTTCGTTCAGATCTAGAAAAAGTAACAACAATGTTCAAAGCTTTGAACCTTCTACTGTAAATATAATTTCAATGTAAATCATCATTGAGATAGAAGTCTGATGTCTTGTGAAAAACAATTACGTAAAGTATGATACGCATTGCATTCAAGCGTTTACACCTCTTGAATATCAAATAAGTGTCTTTTGTTTATTCAATATGTGATCGTTGGGTAATCAAAATAGAAGAAAGAGGAACATTTGATACAAGCCGAACGTATAAATGCATATGCATCATCTAATTACCACGCTACCTATAAATATAAATATCTGCTGCCAACTGTAGTATTTCATACATTAGTTAAGGGCTTTAGGTACATATTGTCATATGTAGATATTACATAGGGTGTCCCAGTTATAATAATTAATATTTATACCACAGATTCCTACGGACATTTGGAACATAAAATGTTATAACACTTTTGACTTTTGAAACAAGATAAAAAATTGTAAAATTATAACAATTTTGATGACGGCCCTGCACAATTGCAAATTAATTACGATTGCCAGCTGATTGTAGACAAATTCACCTTCAGTAGGTCGGAATCAGCTGCTTTTTGGGGTGATGTTATTGTTTATGTTTGGTAATAAGTATCAGCCGAAGAAAATGCACTCGCGTTAAGGTCCATTAGATGACTGAAACATGCTAGAAAAACTATGTACCTATCACAATCGAAAATTCCATGATCGTAAACTGAAATTTCGAATTATTTTATTCAGTTGACAAATAAAATTAATTGATAATTGTATCTGGCAAAGGTAATCGCGCCTTTCAAGTGGAAAAAATTGACAATTGCCATTTCGATCAGGTAGGTATCTACACAAGTTTTTTCAACAAACAATATATCTTAAAGTCTTAAAGTTTCTCCACCAAATGAGTTGCCACCTTCATAAATTAATGCCTGACACAAATATATAAAATAGCATTCAATTTTCCCCTGCTGTTATAACACATAAAATATCCATTATAAGGTACATTACCGTAACGAACTGAGTAGGTCGTAACAATAAAGAAAGTATAAACTCACTAATGTTAATTACAATAACTGTGATGCAAGGGTTAATCCTGACTTGGATATAATGCATTTCTTATATTAAAAGACGCTTTTACATCGGAAAATAACAATTAAACACGTTGTGAATGTAATTTCCAAATGATTCTCCTCAACATATTCTGGGAAAATGGGCTACTTACGTATACGTATCCTTCAAAGATGCTCGTAAAATTATTAGTACCTCAATTACAAGATAGAGGTTTATTGAGGAAAGTGTGAAACTACACATTTTGTTATATTCAACTTCAATAAAAAGATTTTAATGATTCCTTTATGAGAATTCTAAACTTGAAGTCTTGTATAATTTTGAGATATTAAAGTAACAGAAAACAACATTGCTCATTAAATAAAGGACAACTTTAGGGATGGATACACATGAACAATAAATCTGATAAGAGTGAGAGATAACTTTAAATAAAATTAAAATTGAAATGGTATTGACAAAAGAGTATGGTATGAAAATAACTAAAAGTAAAACAGAAATATTGGTATGTACCTACAGAAAAAAAAAACAGTAGGGAAAAAGTAAATATAAAGATAGGCCACGAAAAATTAGAAGAAGTCGCCGATTTTCGGTGTTTATTAGGAAGTCAGATAAGTCAGGGTGGAAGGAGCAATAGAGGATAGCGTAGAATCGAGTCGCCTTAAAAATTCGAAAAAACTTAAGGATGCATGTCTGGAGCACGGCTCACTACGGATGCGAAACATAGACGGTAGCTTCGAATAAAAAGAAAAGGTTAGAAGCGTTCAAAATGTGATGTTACAGGTACCATTATCGGTACCGTGGAGAGAGAAGGTTAGAAATGAGGTGGTACCAGAAAGAATAGGAGAATAAAGGACGCTATGAAGCCTTTTCACACGAGCTACATTTTGTAGCGCTTCCGTTGCGCTACAGTAGCCCGACAGATGCTAGTTCGTATGTGCAAAAAGCGATTTTTTGCAGCGCTTCGATATTGTAGCCGATGCAGTAATGTATCTATTTCAAATTTAAAGAAACGGTTATTAAAATGAAATCGTAAAAGAAAGACGAAGAGGAGCTTTGTTAGCGCTTCTGATAAATTAGAAAAAAAGAAGAATATAAAGAATCGGAAGTTGATCCGTACAACAGCAATCGATTGATAAAAGAATTTTTATACGTCTTTCCAAGACTTATGTCGAAATAAAAATAATTTTCAGTCATTTCTTTTTTCCCATGCTTTTCTTTTAATAGTCTGCATTGCGGCTATTCCAAATGCAATCTTTTCTTTCAATTTCGGTTATGAAATTGTCGACGTCGACGTTGACCATCATTGGTCTGTCGCGCGATTCAAGCGAATACCGCTACGGTTCAGCGACTGTAGCGCTAAGTTTTTGAAGCGCTGCTCTCGTGTGAAAGCATCAATTTAAAACAGTGGATTTCAAAGAATCGTGAAACTGTAGCCCTTCAGAGGCGCTACAAAAAGTAGCCCGTTTGAAAAGGCTCTAAGAAATACTCGAGATGGGTTGGTACAACACCTCTAGTATGTAGGGGTATTTGGACACATACTAGAAGCGAAACAGGAGTTAAATGGAGGAGTAGAGTTTTACAGAAATACGAAAATTAACTCAAGATAAAAAGGAGTTAAGGTGAATGTCGAACCAGTGTCAATGACGATATTGCCTTTTGATGATTGCAAGTATAATAGAATGGTTCGATCTTCAATTCGCCAGTAGTGTATACGATAATTGCTCGTATTATATTTCAGGATTTATCGCGTCTTTAAAATAAAACCTCAACATTACCACGTGAATGTTAGTAAATCTTAGGATTTCCCATCATTCAAGCATTTACAGTGACAAATAAGTAATGAGTCCCTGTGCGCTAGTGATAAAGTTGGAATAAAAGATAGTGCACTTACTGATATTGTGCCTAATGTATTTGTGAGAGTAGAAGTAAAGTTTAATGTTTAACTACGGATAAGTACACGTGTAGATAGATCGTATTTACGTAAACGTACAGGGAAATGACCATTTTAGTCACGGCTTCTGGTGCTTAAAATTCTAACTATAATAGGACTGCACAAGTTTTTATAAACAACACAAGTTTTACTAATTTCTTATTCGCAACAGTAAAGGTATTCAGTCCGAAGACTGACGGCACACGCAACTCCAGAATTTCTTCCTATCTTGAGTCAATCTTTACATATCTCTTGGAAACTAGAGCAACCTGCTCCTGTTAACTCCTGTTTCTGCTTCTAGTATGTCTTTAACCAGCTTCGTACCAACCTGTCACCTATTTCTCATTGACTTTCACAAGACCCTCTATTGGCCTACTCTTTGTGATAACTATTTTTAGCATCCTCCTACAACACCATATCTTTTAACTTTTTCTATTCCGCAGCGCCCACCGTACACGTTTCACACCCTTACAGAGCTATATTCCAAGTATACACTTTTAATAAACTGTTTAAAATTTCCAAATTAATCGACCTACAACACAAATGTTTTTATTAAAAGGTACGACACCCTGGTCTTCGTTTTGTACCTCCACCTCATTTTCCATCCTGAGCTATCTGCCCCCCTATATATCAAAAATCGGCGACTTTTTCTAATTTTTCGTACTTATCCTATTTCTATATTATATCTAACCCTACTTTTACATCCTGTAAGTCCCACTACATAATTTTAATGATAAAAATTTTCTGTGCTCTATTTAAAAGAAAGAGAGCCTTTTTAATTTTTCCTGTTAATATTCTTTTTATTATATATATTACTAGCGACCCGCCCCACCTTCGCACGGGTGCAATGCTGATACTAAATATGTATATTTTTGTTTTGTTTAGATTATTATCGAGAAGGGGAAATCTTCAAAAGATACCCCCTGAACATACTAAATATACTACAGCATGTCTTTAAATACAACATTCACAGTTTTTTTGTCATTAGATAATACAAACCGGCCTCCCGGCCGATACCGCCGCAACCGCTATGATCCTGCATTTTAAATCTGTAATATCTTCGAAAATATTCATTTAAATTACATGCTGTAAAGGGCCATATTGATCTATATGAAATGCACAATGTATTTAAGGTACTTAATTGGATAAGAATTAATGCTGTATTGCTTACAATCGCTTAGTAAATAAGTCATTATTTTCTCATAAAAAGTAAAGGATAAAAAATGGTTATTATGGCTTATCCCTAAGAGATAGACATATAACATCCCGAACGTTTTTGTAGACCTTTTTAAGATGTACAATACTGTAGTACATTCATTATTTTGATCTATCTCGTAGGGTTCAGCCATCGTTTGCAATGTAAGCGCAAAAATGTGTTTATTTACGACATCACATTAGAAACCTCTAAAATTATCAGTGTTTCCCTACTATATTATACATATAAACCTTCCTCTTGAATTACTCTATCTTTTAAAAAAACCGCATCAAAATCCGTTGCGTAGTTTTAAGCATACATAGGGACAGACAGCGGAAAAGCGACTTTGTTTTATACTATATAGTGATGTTATATTTTTTGCATATTTTTGATATAAATACGTTTAATGTTATTCCATTTTTTACCGAAAAGTACCTGTTTGTCGAAGTTCAAAGAAATTGTGTCAAATTTAATTCTTCACATAAATAATTCAATTCTTGCTTACCCCATCATCGTCCTAATAAAACCTGAACTTTAGGAACGTGATCGTTTTATAGGAAGTCAGTAATCGACTGTTTTTCTTTTCTTGCTTAAAACTTTGGGGTGCAGGTACATCTACTTTACTTTTTATTCAATTACCTTCTGGACGGGTTTTCTTTAGAAAGAAATTTTAAAACTAAACTTTTCCTACCTCTATTCCAAAATAATTTGAAAGACTTTAGTAATTAAGAAGCAAATCTATCCCTTTTGTTAAGAAGAATAATAGAAAAACACTTCCATTTTAAATAATTACTGTATTTTCTCATTTAACAGCAATTAGATCCCAAAATTGTGCATTTACAATCAGTATGAATGTAAAGTAAATATTAACAACTAATTTTCCGTGGAATCTAATGGTTATGATCTTAAAATTCTAATCTGTAAGCCCTAAGGGTGTCTGTCACAATTAATTGATACCAGAATATAAGTGGATATATTTTCTTCGTTCAAGTAAAAACAGATACAATTCACATCAAAGCAATACTAGACATTAATACATATTACATACAATAATAAATTAATATAATAAAATGACGACAAAATACTGAAGTGGGTTGGTTATCACATCTGCGCCTAACAGAAAAGTGCATCATCATCGTTCTGTTGTGGTTTTCATATAAGTACTTTTTTATCTTTATTATATACATCATAATTCCTCCTCAGTGTTACTTGAAGCAAGTGATTGCGTTGAAATAACATCTCCAGTACACTCGACCCTTCTGTTGTGTTTGCATACTATCTTGGTGACCTCTTCGTTGCAAGTCCATCTAAAAATAAAAAATAGCGATTTATTATAGTTACCTACAGTGAAATCTAATAATTAAGATCTGACAAAATGGCGGCTTTTGTAAAGATGGCTGCTATAGAATAACACTTTAAAAGTTGTATTGGTTTTTATATAAAAGTGTAAATAATAAAAAAAATTGATACATTTTATAATTACGTTAACAAATCAATCCTTAACGACGAAACGCTTATTGCTACCTCTTGACAGTGTTATTTCATAGTGGATTAACTTTCCGCCATCAGATGGCGCCCAGGAATTTGTCAGATTCCAATTGATAAACGAAAAAAAATGAAGCAATTATATAATACTATTAGAATACATCCAATGTGGAATATGTCTAAGCTGAATTGAATGTGAAAGAGAAAGGGGACAATTGCACTCATCCCCCCCCCACCTTGGATCCGCACCTGATTGCTTTTAGAGTTTCTTTTAATGCATTATTTTTACTTCCTTATTCTAAATATAAATATGCAAAACATATATTAAACTACTCGAATAAACAAGTTGTTTGTATTATCAGAATATCGTATTTTCTTCGATATATATTTTCTTCAAAAGTGGGTGATTTTGCTCGCAGCAGGAATAAAAGTTCATAAACATAAATCAGCTTGCTGTTACTACAAAACGAAGAATTTCTGTAATTTCCCAATGGCAATATTCTTCAATTCAATCATCGCTTCTCACAAAAAGCGTTTTCAAAGTGTCGTATTTCACATGAAAGTTAGACGGAAGTCAAAATGAATACATATTTTATTTACATAGGATATAAAAAAGTCGTTTCTACAAGAAAAGTGGATTTTATAAATGAACTTCATCTAATATTAAAAATAGAATATGTAGGTAACTGAAACAAGCAATGCACTAAATTGTCTTTTGTGTCATTATGCTGCTTCCCGTCTGGAATTCTATTTAGGTATTCCTAAATACGAATGCGGATCCAATAAGGAAATAGTGAGAGGCAAACCAAAATATGGAAAGTCTAATTATTACTTTATCAGGCCCACATTAGGTTGGTCAAAATAAGGCATGCATAACGAATGCCTTATCAAGTTTTTTTTGGGAAACATAACTGTTACCTCATTAAATCCCCCATTGAAGTGGCCAAAATAAGACATATTCATTAAGTTAGGCGTTACTGCGCAATTGTTAATACGAACCTTTTGCCGATAATGTAAGGTTGCCTAAGTTTTACCTCCCTTTGGCCTTACATTGAACACGTACAAACTTTGATAAGTATATAATTGATCTAAAAAGCTAAACGGCAATACGCGTAAATCGGGAAAAAAAGAGCAGCTTTCCAAGCAATTTTAAGCAATTAAAATTATTAGTTTTGTGATCATGCTCTGTCTTAATTCAAATCAACAAAATTCAAATAAAGACACAATAATGAAATCTGTGAGAAAGAATTTTTCATCGCTTTATCGTACTCAAATTATAATTGTAAATTGATATACAATTGTAAAATGGATTATGATAATTATTTTATTAATACAGTCGAACCTGGATAAGTGAAAACTGCGTAAGCGAGAAAACTGTATTAATGAGAGTATTTGTCAGGCCCCGTCATTTTACCCTTCTAAACCCTCTATAAGTGAGAAACATAAAACCTGTATAAGTGACAGTCATTTTTCATGCATGAACCTCTTTAAGTGAGACTGCTACTTGCCTGTACATCTATAATCGACAGTTTACTTTTGATATTTTATGACTCGTTCTTAAATTTGAAGACTCTTATTTCATTCGAATGACCAAAAGTGCATCTGTTGTTGTTTTCTATAGTTCTAGGAACTTACGTTGTATTTGAATGACCGACTAAGTCTTTATTATTTTATTATTTCCAAATGTGCGTACCGACTTGTTTATCAATCTTATTACAGTCAGTTCATAAAAGCAGTTACGAAGAAAGGTTCTGTACTGTCTAAACGAAAACTCAATGTGTTGAAAAAAAAAACTTTTGGGTGTTTCATTCCCACTAGCCAGTAATGCTGGTGGGCGAGCAGTCCCTCCGGACTATGCCGGAAGGTAGGGCGGAAGGCCCTCTTCAGCCTGCTTTCAGGAATCGTGGGAATGGGTGGGTGGTGGTTCGGGTGAGAAAGATGAGACGGACGAAATGAAGACAGAAGAGAATGAAAGATTATCTGTGGAATATTACTGCCTCAGCATTTGCCTAAGTGATCCAAGGAAACCACAGAAAAACTTGGACCA